CTAAATTACTGAGGTCTGTGAACCACTCTGTTGTACGTGAGGTTCCCCAATAGTCCAAAATGCAAGCTACACCCTTCTGAGCACAGTATACCCGCTAACACTATCAATCCTCATGACAACTTATTATGCGCACTATTATCCTGATTATTACATACGATGAAAACGGGTCACAGAGAAGTTAAGCAACTTGCCCAAGACTACATAGCTGCTAAAAAAAAATAGCAAGAAATCAAATCCAAGTGCTCTGACTCAGCCTGTATCCACTACACTTCACTACCCACCACATACAAGCACATTCACACGCAGAGAGAAAATACCACATAGGTACAGACCTACCACTTAACTGAGCACCTACTACATACCAGGCACTGGAGATGAAAGAATAAAAAAGCCTGGCCCCGAACAGAAGCACTTTATTTTTTTAAAAAAAGCAAATTCAGGGTAGGTTGAAAACAAAGAAGAATCCAGCTACAGTATGATGTGTTCACGCTCAGGCTAGCCAGCCATCCTGTGTGTTAGGGAAACACGATGCAAAGGACAACTAACTTAAATAACAATGTCACTCTTAGAAGCACCAAACTTGTTTATCCTACACAGTTGCAATACACTTGTCTGGAATAGGAGCATAGGAAACATGATATAAACCTTTTCTGGATGGTTTCTGGTCATCACGGGGAAGACCAAGAGCACGGCTGCAACAATGCAATCCAGTGTTTTAGGAATGAGGGGCTCTTTGCCCCTACCCTTTTTAAACTTAAAGAATTAGATCTCCCTCCCAGGTCTTATTATACAAGGTTACTTCTCTCTCTTGCAGTCACCCCCCTCCTCATCTGATGTGAGGCAAGGAGAGTTAATCAGTAACCACACCTACTTCTAAATTTAAATTGTCAGGGAAGGTCCTTTCTCCAGGGTAAAGTACTTGGATTTAGGCCAGTTTACCTATTTTCTTTGATGTTCATTCAGGTACACTAAAAGGAGGTCGCTAACTATTAAAACAAATCCTGCCAATTTCAAAATTTTACCCATGACAAACCTGGGAAGGGAAAGAAATGAAACATCTTAGCTCAAACAGGGACTGTGATAATAGTAACAGCTAATCTTTAATGAGAAGTACCTACTATGTGCTAGGTATGTGTTAGAAGCTTTATGGGTATTAATTATTTTATTCTCACAATACCCCTATGAAATAGGTCATTCTAATATCCATTATACAAATAAGAAAAATGCGGCCCAAGTTCACACAAAAAGTTGCTGGGCTAGAATCTGAATCACACACTCAGGTAAAAAAAAAACTCTCAAATGTCTTTGCAGCCAAGGAGGTAAAATAAACGTGTCAAGTGGCTCAGTTTTATGAAAATAGAGCTGTGCTTCTCAACCATGGCTGCACACTGGAATCACCTGGGGAGACTGCCAGGTGGGTTCCACCCCCAAAGATGGTGATTTAATTGGTCTGGGAGCTGCTCAGGTGATTCTAATGGGCAGTCAAAGCTGAGAACCACCGTGTGCAGGCAGAGAGCGGTGCATGGCCTACTTGAAAGCAGTTTTTACAAATATTTAAAGGTTAATTAAACACCGTGCTGGTCAAAGGTTGTTACTAGTGTGTAGCCACCAGTATGTAACCTCTGCCCGACTCCTCAGAATAATTGAGGTACAGTACCCGCGAGAGATAGCCAGCCCTGGTGGTCTAGTGGCTAGGCCCCAGTTCATTTCCCTGTCAGGGAACCACACCACCCCTCTGCCGGTTGTCATACTGTGGCAGCTGACTGTTGCTGTGACATTGAAAGCTATGTCACCAGTATTTCAAATTCCAGCAGGGTCACCCACGGTGGACAGGTTTCAGCGGAGCTTCCAGACTAAGACAGACTAGGAAGAAGGACCTGGCCACCCACTTCTGAAAAAACTGGCCATGAAAACCCTGTGAATAGCAGCAGAGCATTGTCTGATTTAGTGCCGGAAGGTAAGAGGATGGCGCAAAAAGAAGGCTCTGCTGTACACAGCGTCACTAGGAGCAGGAATCGACTAGATGGCACTAGCAACAACAAATGGGTGGGAGATAGATAAATAGGTAAATAGATACGCTGGCAGACAGAAATTTGTTTTTAGTGGAGGGTGGGTTGCCTAGTCTTAGAACTTTCCCCATGTCACTCCCTACCATCTCCTATTTATGGAACTGTTCTACTACATGATGCACTTAAACATTACCTACTTTCAAAATAGTCTCTGGACTACAACCCTTTCTTAAACTGAAGATGACCTAAACAGGCTCACTTACCAAACGCATACCTGCAGATTATAGGGCCAAACTACTTAAACATTTCAAGAGTCATATTTTTCAAAGAAGGCCACTCATAATTAACTTGGATCTTAATCCAGGCCAGGTCAAGAGATCTCACATAACTAAACAAGCCTTCACAATGGAGAGTCTAATGCCCTAAAAGGACACCTATGCAGGCAGCGCACAGTGCTGCTGAGCAAAACGGCATTTGCCACTGGGAAAGGGAAGCAAAAGCTGCATACCATCACAAAATCTTCATGAGATGGCCTGCAGATGTGAAATCCAAAATAAAGACTGCAGAAATCAATCGTGAATCCATTAAAAAGGAGAAACTGCAGCCTGCTTGGGGAATAATTCTTCATGCATAATCATATTGTAATTATTGCAGCAACACAACTCATGAGGAAATGGCAAAAGAGTATATTAAGAAATGGACTTTGCGGTCACTCATTCAAACTACCTACAACATTTTTTCATCTCCTGCTGCAAAGCAAATGTTGTGTATTTTAATGGTCTTATATTACCACTTACCAGCACTCTTCTCCCCTACTACCACCATCAAAAGGCAAATAAAAGGAGAACAAAAATTGAGATTGATTTTCAAAATGGCATACTGCAAATAAAGGCCATGACTCAGGAATCAGGGCCTCAGTGAACGAGTTCCAGCACTGGCAGTCGAGGCCAATGCGCTATTTGGGCAAAATATTTTGTTGTTGTTACTTTGTTTTTTTTAAAAAGCAGAGACAGAGGGGCCAGCCCAGTAGTGTAGTGGTTAAGTTCGTGCGCTCCACTTCCGCAGCCTGGGGTTCGCAGGTTCAGATCCCAGGCATGGACCTACACATGGCTTATCAAGCCATGCTATGGCAGGCATCCCACATGTAAAGTAGAGGAAGATGGGCACAGATGTTAGCTCAGGGCCAATCTTCCTCAGCAAAAAGAGGAAGATTGGCAACAGATGTTATCTCAGGGCTAATCTTCCTCACAAAAAAAAAAAAGTGTTTGGGATTAACTATCTCACAGTTCAGGATAAGTTTGTTGATTGCATATACATTGATCCTTTCATGAGTGTCAGGCACTGTGCAGTGCTGAGGATGTATTGGTAAGCATGACAGCGCCTGCTCTCATGGGTCTCCTTCACTAAGAGACCAAGGCACTAACCTCATACAATCCACCATACACATCCCTTCCAGCCATGTGTGTCATAATCTAGTCCTGCCACTGTACAATTAGATGGGAAATTTTTCCCTTGGTCTAATGGCACTGAACTTCACAGGGAAGCTTGCTGATATCTTCTAAGTAAGTAAATAAATACCCATGCTTTGCATACCAATAATTCATGGGTAAATTTCAACAAGTTTACAGAAAAAAATTTTTAACCTAAGATGGTATCAAAACAAGTTTTCCTTTTAAACCAAGCCCAGCTCACATATTTTCACTGCCTGTGGCTATGCAGCTTCAGTAAGCTAAAAATACTTCCCTTACTAAGTTGGGAAGAGGAAAGAAGAAGCAATCAGCTGTGCATCATTTTCTCTCACCGAAAAAAAACTTTTTTTTTACTAGAAAACACTCAAAATAGCTGAAGCAAAGAAAAGGCATCTGTTTTATATTTGGATACACATACACTGACAGAAACATCCATCCAACTCGTATCTTCTTAGTAATATGAAATAAGCTATATTTGCATTATCAGCAAAGCCCATCAACATTTCACTACTCACAGCTTTTTATTTACTTATTTATTTTTGGTTGCGGAGAGGGCTGCATCAGCGTTGAAAACTAGCCCCAACTACAAGTAAAAGCTTTCAAAAAATATGGATAGGATGACTATGCTCTTAACAAGACCACACCATGCTTACTTCGCAGTCATGCATCATTTATGTTTCTAAAATTTACATTAAAGGAGATTCTAAAATAGAAGGATAGGAGCTGTAAGTCTTTCTACCAGTCTGGCTCAAGTTGTGTTTGCTGTGTCCGGCAAAGTGAAAAACTGTTTCTTCTCTTGGACTTCTCAAGGCTAACTGTAAAATACACACACACCCCTAGTTCTATGATAAACTAAGTACAAGTTACTCAGGAAGACAAATGAACCTTTTTTTTCCCCAAAAACATACCTGCAGGATGGTGAACAGTAGTGGTGTGGATTTTTGCAACATCTCTCAAGTCACCCTATTAAGTTAACAGAAACTAGCAGGTCTAGGTTCCATTGGACTGGGCCATTAGTTTGGGCCGCTGCTGGGTCATGGCTTAATCTCCCTTGAAAAAACAGCACAGTTTGAGAAACCCGTGCCAAACTCCCCATTTCTTAGGCTACTGACAAAGTCAACTGGAAAGCAAATATCTAGAAACCAGGAGACCATGCCCCTCCGGGACGGGCTGGCAGAAGCGGAGGGAGGCTCCCGGTTTGCCTGCCCGGTTTGCAGCTGGGCCTTTGACAAGCGCTGGGGTAAAGGGTTCCGTGCGCACCCGGCCATCCAACGCCCAGCGGGACCAGGGGCTGGTGGCACGACTTTCAAACGTAACCGCTGGAGGAAGCGGGAGGAGGGATATGTCATCTACCCCGATGACACTCCGGAGGCCCGGCGGCCCTGCAGGGCTGGCCTCTGATGTCCCTGAAGGTCGGAGGTGGCCCCCGCAGTGCCAACGGCTCACCGAAGCCACTTTTCCAGACGGGCGGGAGGCGTGGGGCAAAGCTGGCCACCGGCCGCGCGCGTCCCGTTAACCGTACCTTGTAACTGGGCGGAAAGGGACTCCTGGTGCTGCTGGTACTTGAGCGCCACCGCCTCGGCTTTCCGCAGCTGCGTCTGCAGCTCGTAGTAGAGCATCGCGCCGTAGAGAAAGCCGAACACCACGGTGAGCAGCAGCAGCGTCTGGAAGATCCGCTTCTGCTTTCGGGAGCACATCCCGTTTCCCATAGTCCCGCCTGGACTCCGCGCCGCGGCCGCCCCCGCCGCCGTCCCGTCCTCCGCTCGGCCCGAGCGAGCGCTCAGCAGCGGCAGCCGCAGGAGGGGGCCGGACGCAGCATGGGCAGGAGGCGCGAGACACAAAAGCGGGGCCGGGGGGGGGGAGTGGCGCCCGCTCAGCCCCCGCGCGCCGCGGGGCGCGCAGCCATCGACGCCGCCGGCGCGGCCGCCGCCACCAAACTTTTGCGAGGCTGGCTCTCCGCGAGTGCCCGGGCCCGGGAGGGGGCCCTCCGCATACTTCTGAGCGGGCTGTCGCCGCGCCGGGCCCCGGACGCCTCCTGCCTTTTTTCTTCCTCCCCACTTTCTGGCCCGGCTGCCCCGGCGGCGCTCGGAGTCCCGCCCCGGCCGCTCCCCGCCCCCTCGCGGCGGCTCCCACTGCGCGACTCTGTTGCCACCAAAAGGAGGAGGCGCGCGCCCAACAAAGGGACCCGGGCTCCAGGCGGCCCCTCAGCGCGCGGCCCGCGGGCTGGTGGATGGATGCGGGCCGGCTGCCCCGGCCGGGTTTGGGGGACAGCGGGCCGGTGTCACTGACGGGGCTGCCGCCTCTGGGCCGCCGCCGCCGCCTCCCACCCAACTTACGTGTCACCCACGGCCCCGCTATTCTGGCCAACGGGATTCCGGGAGGAAGTCCCACTCGGGCTCCCCGCTCATTGGGCCCGTCCGAGCCGCCGCTCCCTCCCTTCGGGGAGGCACTGCCGGGCTCGATTGGACGTCCGCTGTGTCCGTCCGACCCCAGGGCCGCGCCTCCCCTCCCACCGCGGGGGCCGGGAGGGGCTCCGTGGGCAGCGCGGCCGCCTGGCGCCGGGGTGCGCCCACGTGGAGTGCGGGTGGGTGGGGAGAGGCGGTGGAGCGAGGGGCGGGGAGGTTAGGGTGCGCGGGGGACGTGTCCCGGCTTGCGGCTGGGCGAGGTACGGTGCGCACATGTGTGTGAGTGTGCATGTGAGTGTGTGCGTTTGTGATCCAGCACTCGGGACGCACGTGGGGAGAGCAGTACAGTGTATATAAGTGGGAGAGAATGTATGGGAACAACTGTACACTCTACCGAGTACCCTTTCTTTCCTGCCCTATCCAGTGGGCAGATGCGGCAGACACGCGGGATAAACGACGTCGTCTGCACGGTCTTCTCAGTCGAACCAGAGACGCCTTGCCAGCTGAGTCCCCATCCCGTGTACTAACGTGGATGCGTTTGTGCCCACAGATGGCAGGACACGGGTCGAGAGGCTCAGCACGCTAGCACGCTAGACTTACTGCTCCACTGCCCGCGTGGGTTGGGGAAATCCGTTTGCCTTTGGCAGAGGGGAAAGAAATGATCTCATGTTTTTCCCCTGGCTGCAAATAGAATAATTTAAAAACAAATCTTACAGGCTGAAATAAGTATGCATTCATTTTATCACATGTATTGTTTTATTGGTGGCAAAAAGACATCAGTTACATTGCTAAATTACATTTTAAAGGCCAACAAAGATTCCCTATGTAAAAACAAGTAAACGAGCTTGATGTCCACAAACCCCTTCAAAGAAAATCCGAAGTGCATTTGTTCTTTCTATGTACCTGAGGAAGGAAAATTGAGGTTATGCATAAATGATAATTTTGTTTCTGCTCTTGACCTGAATTCTAAGAAAGTAAATTTAATTTCTCAAATGTTTCAGTAGTGTCACGGAATTTATTACATACTGCATAATTTTTGTGATATAATAACTGGATTTTAGTCATCACAATCGATAATGCCCAGTGAGTGCTCAAAATGAGGGTAGATCTGTTTAGCCAAATACAACATAAGGACAGTCCCTGATGCAGAATTTTTTTAGGTGGACTCTGAAGTTAGATGATGCTAAAAGACTTATGTAAAGTAAGCTGAATTTACAACATAGCTAGCCTCTGACGTTTATACTACCATGAAAAGTAAGTGTGCCTGGCATGTGCTTTTCCTTAATAGTAATTTACATTATATTGTTCAAAATACTTTCACTTAGAAATACACTATCTCACTTATCACAGCCAGGTTAAGTATTAGGCTCACATTTTGGTAAATAAACAAATCAAAGCTTGTCAAAGTGACTATGATAGCTCTGGGACCTTCTGGGTCATGCAGAAAGTTAGGAGCTCAGCAAGATTAGAATCCAGGTCAGAATTCTGCTCTTTCCATCTCTTTGTCTTGTAGAAGCCAGGTGCTCATTCTTTTTAAACAAGTTATATTAACAAATTGTATCTGGTCCATTAAATGAGAACCTAATTTAAAAAGAAAAAGATCTAAGGAAGTTTTAGAGTTTTGTTCTGTTGTGTAGATACTATATAGCCTTACTTGTTATTGAATCTACCACTGTTTAAATTTCTCTCTTGCTGTCTAACTCTTAGAAATTGAGACTGGATAATTCCTGAAACCTTGTTAGAATTCCTCATAACTAAAAATTTTACCACTGTCAGCGTACAATTTGCTAAATAAACTCTTCCTCCAAAAAAACTACCGTAACTGCTCTGGAGGAAATGAAGGTTTATAGCAACAATTATTCCTGGCCCATACTTGAATAGAAAATTATCCGAGCCACAGAAGAAAAAGAAACCCTACAGAGGGTTGGGGAAAATTATTGCTCATATATTACAGGGTATGCAGTATTTAGTTGTATTTCAGAATCTCTGGAAAATTCTTATGCTTCCAGAATACGTGATCACTCATTTTAAACCTCTGATTCTTTCAGATCTGATTGCAGACTCCAAAGGTATTCTTTGCCTAAAGCTGCTGGCTGACTCTACAGAATATAATAAATATAGGCCATAAAACACAACTCAATATTTTAGTCATAAAATTTGAAAGAGAACAAAAATTATTACCTGAACTTATCCATTATTTCAAATTCAAGAAGGGTATGTAGAAGTACATAAAATCACTAATGGCAGTGTCTTTATAATATTACTTTTCCAAGGTGAAGTATGCTGCCAGTTTCTTGAAAATATCGGTATAGAGCTTTAGAAAGGCCAACACTGGGGAAGCTATCCAGGGCCTATGAATTGAATTTACATAACATTGCCTTTGGGTAGAGCTTATAAATTTATAATGGTCTTGCTAGGTCTATTGTTAGTTCTATTTTATTTTTGTTTCTTTATCACTTTGAAAATAGTATTATATAATTATATTTCTGTATTATATATATTTAACAATATATAAAATTTAAAAATTTTACATCCTGGGGAATTTCACCAATTTAATATTTTATTTATAAGGCAGGAAAAAATTAACTTAAAGGGATTAAAGCTCTTATGTTTGAGAAAGGCTAAGGTAACATTTGGGAACCTTAGTATTCTCTCCAGTTTTAGTAAATTTGTCGTTTCAGTAAAATTTGTTCATTTTCAAAATAGAGGAAGGCAAGAAAAATATAGTTGAGGGATACAGCCAATGTTTTATTTGTAAAAATAGATAATTATAAGTTAATAATTTTCAAGATCCTAGAGTAAATAATTTCCATTGTCTGTGAAATTTTTCATTTAAATCTTGTTACTACGAATTGAATTCAATATTTTTTTAATTTGCAAGAGAAATCAACACCTAAGAAAAGGTAATGAATGTTAAATAAAATTTTTTAAATTTGTAACTGTGTGTGGTGATGGATGTTAACCAGACTTATTGTAGTAATCATTTCCCAATAAATACATAGCATATCGAATCATTATGTTGTACACCTGAAACTAATATAGTGTTGTATGTCAATTATATCCAATAAAAAATAAATAAAATTTTAAATGGCGTTTCAGTATTCATAAACCACAGTTTTAACCTTTTCAAGTGAAAATTGCTGAAATCAACTATGCTTTTTCCTCTATAGGAAACTTTACTCCTTACCTGTGCCTTTTTGCCACATCACCCATTTGCTGTCACTTAACACAGAGTCTTGGCCGCTTGCCACCTATACCTAACGTTTTGAGGGGTGAAGAAATCTACATTCAAAGTATTCTCTCTTTTTGAGGGTTCTGTGAGAGATATTTTGCAACTCCTTTTTCACAAAATTTTGCTAATTACCTGGCGATAATTGTTAGCCAATTAACAAAGTAAGGAGGCCTGTGGCTAAACGCACAACAAAGCAATTTGAACCTCATTCAGTTGTGTCTTGCTTTGGTCTTTGTCTAAGCTGCCGCCTTGGTAATTTTGAACTATTTAAGGAGTTAGAGGAAAGTAAAGGGAAAAATAGATGACTAGCTCTTATTTGTAAAATGCTGTTCAATAAGAGGAACCTCACCATCAGCACCACCCATAAATACCTTTTGGATATAGACTACTTTGATAATGGAGGAAATGATTTAGAAGGCCCTACTTGCCATAAGATGTGTAGCTAAACTAAGGAAACAAGAACTATCATTTCAAACTTCTTTAACAACCTTCTAAAGCAGGACCATGTAGCATATTCTAAAGTGGCACAAGAAATTATTTTGAATTTGTTGCTTAATGTTTGTAATAGCTAGCATATTTTGTTTCATAGGAATGTTAGAATGAATGGGAAGGGACCATATGTGAGACTCGGAAGTGAAGCGAACTTACCAAATCTTTCATTGGCTCATTCAGGAAGCTTTTCACTAGCTCACTGCCTTCAGGGACTCAGAGACTTCAGATGAGCAGAGAGACCATGGAAAAGCCCAGTGGCCAAAGAAATATGACATTTTTAATGTTGCCCCCTAAATGTGTGGTTTATTGGATTCCTCTGTATAAAGGCCCTGCTTGGTTTATCCATGACCATTTTATAGAGTTGGTATTATAAGTTTAATATGTTATATGATAGATATTTATAGTAATTTCTCAATAGCCATGAAACATGGCTGGTCATGTTTATGATGTACCCAATGCTAAATCCTGGGTCAGAAATTCAATATTCAATTTCAGAACTATTCTTAAGAGGAATCATAATCTGCTTCATAAACATTCTTTATGCTGTGGTTTCCAGGAACATGTTGAGTCAAAACAAAGGGACTATCAATGTTTTTACCTAGAAATAAAATAGGGCACACTTTCAAGTAAAAAACAATAAGAATCAAGTTGCCTCAGCATTAAGTTCAGCTCAAATTAAATTTGTGAAATAGAAACATTTGTCTTGGATTACTCTGCTCCTTCTCATTCTGTTCTCTAATTCAACTCTTCAACTCCTGGCATCCAGCAGCCTAGTTATCCCCTTTGGTTTCCCAGAATCCTTGTCTATGGCTATGCCCCTCACTCCCCACCACCCACTCACATACACACACATTCCACTTTCCTACTTGAAGACAAAGTATGATAATGTAAAATTATCCTTTCTCAAAATGCCCCTTACTGT